GTTTTAAGTGACCATTGTTTCCCAATTCAAAATGCAATGATGATAAGAAATGAGCAACGGCATAAAGCTACAAAAACAAGCCTCCAAAATGCATATTGAACTAGTTTTTGGCTTCTCTCGTAATAATTTGAGAGAGCATTTGAAATTGGTACGCTTATTTTAAAATTGATTACGGTGATTTGAACTATTTATTGTTTTAAATTTATTGAGTAGAATATTTATATAAAAAATAAGATTATTGGACATCGATAGTTATATATTTGAATTATATTTATTTTTTAAAAAATGAATGGTAAATATAATTTCAAAAATAACTATACATTTTTTATAATATAAATTTGATTCAAATATAAAGCTATTGATGTCCTATCATCTTGATTTTTTACAGAAATATTCTACTCAACGAGTCTTAAAATATGAACGGGTCAGATCATCAAAATGAAACATATGATGAGCTCTATAGGCAGGGGCGGAGGCAATATAGGCCGAGGGGGTCACGTGCCCCCTCAATTTTGTAATTTTTTTTTTTGGCCATGTATAAAATGTATTCTCCTTTTCCCCCCTCTTAATAGGTTCTTTGGCTAATGATTTATTATATTATTCACAACAAGTAATTATTTGATACTTTGAGAACATTATGTGATATTATTTATGTAGTAGTTTAAATCAATAATGTAACGAAAAATATTATAGATTGAATATAATGAACTCATTATTTTTAAGTAGTTGACATACCACTTAGTGTGATTTGTGATTTTCTATGCTTTGAGCATCACGTAGGTAACGTCATATGGTACTCTAAGACTGTTTAATAATTTTCATTCAAAACACGTCATTTACAAGCAATGTCATCTCTTTAATATTTTTTTGTCAAATAAAAATTAAATAGATTCTATAATAATTTGTGCTGTAAATGATGTGTTTTTTTTTTTTTTTTTAAATTAGGAATTTTGATCCATAATTTTTTGTGCTAAAATTGCAAACTTACATCATCATCTCACACCGAGCTATTTCACACCATTATAGAATTTTGATTTGTTTTTATTAATAATGAATATGTAATTTTTTATGTTTAAATTTATCTCATAAAATGATTATTATCTTAATATTGCTCATGAATTTTTTTTAAATAAAAAATTATAATTAATAAGTGACTCCTCTAACCTAATTTTTTGGGTTCGTCACTGTCTACAGGTCTTTCAAATTTTCTTATGTTGAGATGTGAACATAAGAGAAATCTATGGAATTGATTTTCCCATCTAATAATAAAGAAATAAATAATTACGGGGTTGTTTTTTATTTTATTTATATTTATTATTATTATTATTTTGGGTACAATTGGTAGGAGGAGAATAGTGTTGAAAAAACCTGTATCATGTAACAAATAATACTTGAATCCAAAATCACACCTAATTAAGGAGCACCTAGTTTGCATTTAACTATGGGGTTGATCAAAAGATACATTTTCTACACAAATCAAATCATATTTATGATAAATCATTTTGATCATGCAAATTGTTTTTTAAACAAGCAACTCAGCCTATGTAGTCATATGATATGATGAGCATGTCCTATTAATCTTATGCTTAGATTGAAATATTTCAAGAGTTGATTTAATTTCAGAAGTAAAATAATTTAAGACAAAGATTGCTTGAATGAAGTTCTTATTATTCAATTTTATATTTTTCTTTTACAATTTTCTATTTTTTAGTGTTATTTATAAATGCACATGCTAACAAGAGCTTTATCAATTCTCTTGAATACTATAATGTATATGTTAAGGAATTGATTAAATATGAAAATGTCAAAGTCTAGTGTCATTTTTAATTTTTTTTTTATTATAAATTACTAAAGATTATTATGAATGTTAACTAGTTACATTGATAAAAATTACACCCCTAACAAAATCCTTATATTTGCTTTTGATTCATAGATAAAAAGGGCAAAATTGGATTAAACTAGCTCGAGTACACATATCTTTTATAAATTAATAATGTATATATTTGTGGTTTTGGATGTATGTTTAATAAGGATAGCTCAACGAAATGGGCAATGATTTTTTAACAGATTGGACAGTGTTTTGTTGCTTTATAAAAAAATAATGACCAATTGATAGATATGTGGCCATTTTGTGTGGCTGATATTTGTGGACAAACATTATTATGTTCATATAATTAAACTAATGATGCCAGCATATGTTGTAATCTCTTTGTCAAAAACAAAACAAAATAAAAAAAAAAACAAAAATAGAATAAGCATAGAAAGGTGCGGACTTTCAATTTTTTTTATTAAAATTTAATCTTGTTTGGCCAACCAATGCTATATTTAATCGAATGTTTTTAAAAACACTATATTTAATCGAATCATTTTGCTTAAAGCATGTTTTTTTTCTTCTTCTTCTTATTAATAACCATTAGCATATAATTAAATCAATTTATTCATATAATATTGGGTTCACGAGAGTGACTTGTAACAAGTCCACATATGTTTTGTAGTTTTTAAATCACCATATTAGCTCACATTGATGTACTCTATATTTGATCATTAGCATATAATTAAATCAATTTATTCATTTAATATTGGGTTCACGAGAGTGACTTGTAACAAGTCCACATATGTTTTGTAGTTTTTAAATCACTATTATATTCAAGTCCTTAGCTCACATTGATGTACTCTATAATCCAAATACGCCATAAGAAAGTGCCTATTTAAAAGAAGAAATTGTAAAAAAAATACTTGGGTTTTATGTTTTAAGAAGCCAATAATAATATTCTAATTTAATTTAATTTAATCTATTGAATACTTTTTTCTACAAAAATTAATAACATTCTATGGAGACCCGATAATCTTTTCTCATTTCTTATCTTTCATAAATCAAGGTGTTGTTTGATACAATTTATGGTAAATTAAAAATTAATAATTTAAAAATAGAAGTAAAAAACACCTCATCCTATTCTTAGAAATCAATTTTTTATTTTAAATTTATTTAAATTGTTTTTATAAGTTGTATCAAATAGTTTGATATATAAGGCCCATTTAGGAACATAGATTAAAAGTCAAAAGTCAACTTTTAATTTATTTTGAGTCACATCACCTCTCATATAAAATAGTAAAAAAAATTAAAAATATTAAAAAACTAATTTTTAACCATTTTTTCAAAACATCACATATTCTCAAAATAAGAAAGTAATAAGCAGTTTAAACAAACTACCTAACAGCTCCCATCTGTCAAACTACTTCCATACATGATGAGAAGTGGGCGAGTAAAACAGAAAATTCTAGGGCTGAGGAAGAAATTCATAAAATCCGTAATTCGATCCAGTTCAGTCTAATTCAGTAGATTTGGATTGATTTTTTGAATCCGTGGTTCGGTTTCGGATTAGAACCGATCCGGACCGTATACAAATAGTCTATATTTTTATTATACACCCTCCTGCATAGTATCTTATCTTATTTTATATAAAACTTAAATTCAAACATAAACTCACATATAGTATCTTCTTTTATTATTTTTGTTTGCTAGTTTTTAATGTTAATTTGTAATGGTCTAAATACTTATGGTGGAACCAGTTTTCTTATGGTTGTTTAAATTTTAGAACAGTATGTCGCTATTATGAAAAGACATGTTGTTATTGTGAAACAAATATGGTGCTATAATTATATTTTTATGAAATTAAAGTGTTATATATATTTTTTTGTTATTTAATTATATAAATCCGTGATCCTAAACCGATCTAATCCGTGTTTAAATGGATTGGTTCAGATTGGTTCCACGATTTAAACGGATTGGATTGGTTTTCTAATTTTATTCCAATCCGATCCAATCCGGGCCATGCTCACCCCTAGAAAATTCGATATAATATAAATATGGTGGTCAAAACAAAATGAAAAATATTTGGTAGCTCAAAATTTTATGGCTCAAATGGCTCAAATATGTCAAAATGACGTCGTTTTACACTCATTTACACTCAAAACGACGTCATTTTGAATGATTTGAACCATTTAAATTACAAAATTTTGAACTACCTAACATTATTGAAACAAAATATATCGAATAATAATAATATTTTTTGTGCCCAAAAAGTCAGAAAATAGTTCACAAATAAAAAATTTTAGGTTGAAAACTCAATCAAAAAGATGTTGATGGTAATATTTTCGAAATTACAGTCCATTCATAAAAATGAACATTTTAATTTAAGGGAAATGTCTCGTATCTCAAATTTTGTGGCTCAAAAGTGGCTCAAATGGCCAAAACGACGTCGTTTTGGCCATTTTTATGTTGTTCTGTACTCAAAACGACGTCGTTTTGGCCATTTGAGCCACTTTTGAGCCACAAAATTTGAGCTACGTAGCATTGTCGTTAATTTAAAACGAAAAAAATAAAAAAATCGAAAGTCACATTATTACAAAAAGTCCATCGGTGGGTCATTAACCTAAAAAATCTTGTTGGATGCACCTGCACGGCTGTGTGGATACTTATAATTATTACAACAACGGATTAGTAATTGTCATAATTAAAAATTTCAAAAAGTTTAATACTTTCAATTTTTTAATTTTCCAAAATACCTCAACAATAAGACTTGATTAATATCGTGTTTGAGGTAATGATTTAGAAAATAAAAGAGAAAATATAAAAAAATATGAATTAATTAATATAATTATATTTTACTTATATTTTATATAATTTTTTTTAGTCATAAATTTTTATTTAAACAACAATGATAGAGGGCCCTAATTTCTGTGACTCAAATGGTTCGAATTTGTCAAAACGACGTCGTTTTGAGTACAAAATAACATCAAAATTGTCAAAACGACGTCGTTTTGACAAATTTAAAACGACGTCGTTTTGACAAATTTGAGCCATTTGAGCCACAGAAATTAGGGTCCTCAAACATTTTCCTTATTTAAATTTATATGAAATTCTAATCCAGGGGTAAAATAATGATTTAACATAAGGTACAGATTAACAGGGGACAGTGACAAAAAGACCACCTTTTCGAGTCGAGGACCAGAGAGAAAACGTACACAGTCTTTTTTGTGTATAAAGAGAAGCATACCTTGCTTTGTATCCTTCTCCACGGATCAAAAAATTCTGACCCAAACACCATACAATGGATTGTGATGGATCTTTAACTTCGATTCCTCGAAATCTCAGCTCGATTCGTCGGAATTTAGTCATTGTACTGTTCACAGCATCCATTTTCCGGTTATCTTCTTAGTTTCCCGCATAGTATTACCTCACTTTTCCGACCAAATTTGCCAAGAAATAAGGTCTCCTCGTTCGTTTCTCTCTAATTCTATTTGGGTTTTGATTATAGAGTCATATGGATTCTTTTCCAGTAAAATTAAACCCTGTTTGGTTGCTGGGAAAATGGAGGAAAAGAAAAGAAAATTTGGGATTGCTGAACTGTCTTCGTTTATTTATTTGTTGTCTGTCGAAAACTGAAAAGTGGGAAGTTTAAAGATTCAAAATGTTGATGGATTTTTTATTTGCTGTTCGTGCATTTTTTCTGAGCTTCCAAACAAGAGTTACTTACGTGTTCTAATGGAATTCCATGTAAGAATGAATATTCCTCTGCTTTTGGAGAACTCAGAATGGGTTCTTTATCTGTTCATGATTCACGGTTTCTATTCCTATCCATTTTAAAAGTTCCTAGATTCTACCTTTATGACTCATGTAACATCTTTTTCTCAGTTATTTATGACTCAATTCAATTTTATATTTATGTGATTGCCTATATATATATATATATATATATCCATTTGTTTGTTGAGAATTAATCAATCAGAACTGTGCCTTATTGTAGAGGGAATTGAATTGTGCAGAGAGAGGGCCTAATATGGGGCATTTGTCATCCATGTTCAATGGACTTGCAAGGTCGCTGTTGATAAAAAAAGGTCGAAATTCTGGAAATTGTGGCGGAAGAGAGGCCGCTGATGCTATGGCGAGGGCAGCGAAGAAGAATGAATTGATTCTTCGGTCTTCTGGCATTGTTAATGTTGATGGATCGAACAATTTTGCATCAGTTTTCTCCAGAAGAGGCGAGAAAGGAGCGAACCAAGATTGCTCCGTTGTGTGGGAGGTATAACTATGCTTTTGAGAATTTTCCATTTTATGGTCTTACACTCCATTTGGACATGAAAAGACAATTATGATAGGATTCCTAATTTTCGTTGCTTGTCATAGTACTTCTGTTGTTTAAACCAGAAATTATGTTAGGTAGTGTGGAATTGATAACTACTTAACACTAATCACTCAATTGTGGATCCAACTTCTTGGTAAGTTGGCAGGAGGTTGCACGGGACATTGCCTCCTTGCCTGAAGGTGGGGTGTTTGGGGGCTTGCCTACCCGAATTTTGGAGTAAGGGTACTTTTGGTATATCAAATTTTGCCGCATATTGTATTGTAACTCTTTTCATATCAAAATAAAATCACAACCACTGTTGACATAGCCTTATTCTAGGGTGAACTGTGTAAATCTTTATGTTATGTGTACTTGATTTAGATTTTTGTTTGTGTTTTATGTCATATCATTCCTGGTTAGCTGTATCAATTCCAAATACAGGTTTATATCATACTGTTTGCTTTCACTTGTGAGGAAAATTGAAAATATGTTTTTCTTTGCGGTTTTATGTTGATAGATGTGGGTTGTGTTTGTTTGGGATGTAGGAATTTGGATGCCAAGAAGACATGATGTTTTGTGGGGTTTTTGACGGGCATGGTCCGTGGGGACATTTCGTGGCAAAGATGGTTAGAGAAACGATGCCCCTGACTTTACTGTGCAATTGGCAAGAGATGCTAGCTGAGGCTTCAGTTGACTGTGAATTTGATTTGGAATCTGATAAAAAACTTAATAGTTTTAATATATGGAAGCATTCCTACTTAAAGACTTGTGCCACAGTTGATGTGGATCTGGGGCAGCACCGCAAAATCGATTCGTTCTATAGTGGAACCACTGCTCTGACAATTGTTAGGCAGGTATGGGAAGGTCCTCTAATATTTTAGAAGCTTTGCAAAATATACTTGACTTTGCAATGTGTGTTTTGTTTTATACATGTTTAGTTGATTAATGTATTATTTCTCCATAATGTGTTATTTCACATTTAACTTTTAAGAACACAGATATTTTATAAACATTTTTGTCTATTTTAATGTTGTTGAGTTAGCTGACTATTTACAGGTTCAGATCAATATGGAAAACTCTTAGGATTTAACTCATGAATCTTGTACTGCAATCGTTTATTTGTTTTTTATTATAATATATTTAAGATTAAATTTGAAGCATCATTTGAAAACAGCCCAGACAAACAGGCATAATTTGATATAGCTTTTCAATATGAGCTTCAAGATTTCATCAGGCTAATGGATTTTTTTCCCTTTACTGTTCAATATATATAGTAGTGCTATAGCTTTGAGTAATTTGAAGAGATTCCTTGCCTTCGAGTTATTTGAAAAGACTTTCTCAGTGATCTGTGTTTTGTATGTGGCTATAACAGCCCAACTATTAAATGTGCTGTTTATGTAAACCGTCCTTTCACCATCAATTTATGGTATTTGGCTATAATGACCCAACTAGTAAATGTGCTGCTTTTGTAAACTTTCTTTTCGCCATCAATTTATGACTTTTAAATGTCATGTTCATTGTGTATTCTGAGTGTTTTAGGAATTGTCCAACCAAGCTTCTGGACGTAGCTCGTGGAAGTGGTCCCAAGTCCACTGTGCAATTGGGAATAAATTTCTTTTGCAGTGGGGGCTAATTTCACATTGGTGCCTTTTTTGGGGGATAGGACCACATTGAAAGAAAGTGTACCCATTACCTTTGAATGGAGGGGTTCTGTGCGTAGAAATTTTGATTCTATGGTTGTAATATTAGTTCTTAAGTTAGCTTAGATCATTACCTGGTTTTTAATATTTCTAGGCATAAGCATCGTGGTGTTGTTCAATCTCAACTAATCATGTCAAGTTTGTTTCAGTTTGGCTGCTTGATCGATAGGCAATGGTTCCAGTCCTCGCTAGTGCAAACTTGGCCATAAAACCAATATAATTCACAAAACCTTATGTGCACACTCTAGTTAGTTGCCTAAAATAATTCAGCATAATTTATGTTGCTCTTGTTATCCTTTTTAGTTTCCAGTTTCTTTGTTGGAATTTGTGCAAAAGTTTTCAGTTTTTTTTTTTTTCGAGAATGAAATTTGTTTTCATTTATTAAGGATGTTTGCAAATGATGTCTTATTCTTCCATTATTGTGTTTCGCTAGGGTGATCTCTTAGTTGTGGCAAATGTCGGCGATTCCCGTGCTGTATTGGCTACCACTTCAGATGATGGCAGCTTGGTACCAATTCAGCTTACTGTCGATTTCAAGCCCAATCTACCCCGTTAGTCTCTCTCTCTCTCTCTCTCTCTCTCTTGTTGCCCCATCTTTTCATCAATCATTTTAATCTGGTTAATGATAATGCAGAGGAAGCTGAGCGGATAATTCAGTGCAATGGTCGAGTCTTCTCTTTAGATGATGAGCCAGGGGTGCACAGGGTGTGGCTGCCAGATGAGGAGTCACCTGGATTGGCAATGTCTAGAGCCTTCGGAGATTACTGTGTCAAGGATTTTGGACTTGTTTCTGTGCCTGAAGTGACACACAGACAAATAACTGGCAAAGACCAATTCGTTGTGCTGGCAACAGATGGGGTATGTGTATGACATTACTTTCATATAGCAACTGCGGAAGTAAAAACTATACAATTACTCTTTTTAATTAAATTCCAGAAATTAGTAATGTTCAAAAGATTACTAACATCTAAACATAAGGATCATAGTTCACCCCAAAAAAAATAAACAAAAAAAACTTGAAGGTCATAATTGGGCTAGCATATAATATTATATCAATGTGCCTCGTTGAAGACTGTCTCTCTCTCTATCTCTCTCTCTCTCTATATATATATATACACATAAGCACATCAATAAAATTTAAGAATAGCTGAACATTTATTGGCATTTCTCTATTTTATTGTAGTTTTTATTCCAGTTAAATTTTATGCCATCTTTTTTCTGTTTTCTGTCAGATTTCGCGCATTATAGAAAGTATAGGCTTTCATATTATACATTTTTTTTAAAAATATTTTTTTTGTGGCTCAACTGATACAAAGAGAAAAGGAGGGACACAGAACAAACAAAGTGAACAAGAAAGAAATAAGTAACAAGCCAACTTTTTTTTTTTCCTTTTTTTTTTTATTGTTACCGGGGTGTTCGGATCAAAGCTCGACTAATCCCCAGGAGTGCATAGGCTCTCGGCAAGGAATTTCTTAGAAGTGTACCACGGTTAATTTAAGAGTTTTCCTCCAATCTGATTGCTCCAAAGAATTAGTAACACCTGAGAGATTTCGATTTCTGAACCGTGGGGAGTGAGCACACTCCGAAAACCCAAGGCCTTGCCATCAGGTCAACCCCTTGGGGTTAACTAACAACCAACTTCAACCATAACAAAAGCTAAACAAAGAACAGAGTTAAAACTAATCCACATGATCCAACTTTGCCACCACAGCCGCAACAGATTCTCTTATTTCTGCGACCTACTGACTTTTATTACTTTTCTGGTTTTTAGGTGTGGGATGTTGTCTCCAATCAAGAAGCAGTGCAAATTGTATCTTCAACGCCAGACCAAGCAAAATCAGCTAAACGTCTGGTTGAGCATGCTGTCCATGCATGGAAACGCAAGAGACGAGGAATTGCAACTGATGATATTTCAGCTATTTGTCTCTTCTTTCACTCTCCTCCTTTATCTTCTCAGCAAACTCATCTTGTTACTAAGCCAATACAGTAATGCAAGAAGAGAAGGCAACCACTTATCTGTTACTCAAAACGGATCCTAGAAATCATTAGACTGCACAGAGGGTGTTTATTTTGTAAATCAAGAAGGTGCAAACTCTACGAGAGATCTCTAGAAACAAATCCATTTGTTTTTGAAATAGTATAATCTTCTTTTGATAGCCATTGACATTCTTTATGAGCTTAAATGTGCGTGTTTTTGTTTTTTGTTTTTAGTTTATCTATTCCAACGCCATCTCTGTTTGATCTCATTAAATTTTGGCTGGATTTCATGGAGCATGGTATGAATTTAGTTAGGCTGTTTTTGGCTTCGAAGGGTTTGGAGTTGGGCTCTCAAGCTTTTCAATTCAGTTTCTTTCTGCAAAGGGGTGGTTGTGAAGGCTTTTTATTGGATCTGAACAGGCAATTTGGCTCTTGCTCAGTCATTTTGTTTTCATTGGATTAACTGCAACACCTTGCTCACTGGAGGGTGCAATTTTTGTATTTCTGGGCCCAATTCCGGCCTGTTTCGGTAATACGAATTGTTCAATTTATAAAACTGGTTGGGTAAATTATCTATGTAAAAAATCAAATTAAGTGAACTAATTGAAAAGTTTAGCCCACATTTCTCCTTAAAACCCAGGTATTAAGGAGAGGGAATTTGAAGCTTTATAACTAGTACAGATGGGATAATTCTAAGCGATGTGTGACACATTTCAACACACCCTCCTAGACCAATCACAGGCTCAACTAGGCTCTGATACCAAATTGAAAAGCTTAGCCCACTCTTTTTCTTAAAACCCAGGTATTAAGGAGAGATAATTTGAAGCTTTATAGCCAGCACAGAGGGGGGTAACTCCAGGCGATATGTGACACATTTTAACAGAATTTTCATAGCTATGTGATTGATTTATGTTTGAATGGAAAAAAGTGAATGGAATATTTTTAAAAGCATAATTTAGTCATCCATTTTATTACACAGAAATGTGATCCAACGAGATAGTTGTTGATATTCGATCGATTTGACTTTTTGCATCAATGGCAGATCTTATAATTTGAATGGTTCAAGTCACAAAAATAGACCTCAAATGATCCCACAAGTTCAAAAAATGCACTACCCGATTGAAAAATGGGACTAGAGGTAAGTTGGTTTCTATTAAAAGTTAGGATAAATTACACTTACATCATATGAGGTTTGGTTTTAATACATATCACCCTTTAACGTTTGGCCAATTACACTGACCTCCCTATCATTGTAATTATTTAGACGAAATTAATGTTGGTATCAAAAAGATATTGAATTCATACATTCTCTCTTTTCTTGTTTTGCTTTACTTCTTCAATTTTTTTTTTCTTCTTTCTTTTGCTTTATTTTTTTTCTTCAATGTAATTTCTTCTATTTTTTTATTAGGAGTTGTTGCTTTTTATATAAGGAGTGGAGTTTGTGAAATGAGACTCTTAATCATAGGGGTAAGAATACAATTTCTATAACATCAGGAAGTGTGATATAATCGGACCAAACCTCATAAGGTGTCAGTGCAATTTACCCTAAAAATTAAGAGCGAACATAATTCGATTTGGTTCGATTTTAAAAAAGACCGCAACTAAACCACTACTTTATGAAAAAAACTTGAATAAAACGGTGGTACATGCCATTGGCATTAGCATCCAATCATTTCTTGTCTTTTATCTTCAATGTATATGTGTCACCTGAAAATTAGAGTTTCTCTTTCACATCATGTGGTTTAATTCTGTGTTGGTGATACCACGTCAGCGGTATCACCATTACACTATATTTTTACTCTTACTTTGGTTCTGTTTGGTAAGGAGGTTTGGGGTTATTTTAGTCATAAAAGATAAAATAGGCTATTTTAGTCCCAACAAATAAAACATCACATCCAACCCATAATCATTACATTCTTTTCTCACAAAAAAAGTCAAAAAAATTAAAAAGTCAAAAAATCCTTCCCAAACCAAACTTTTTAACCTAGGCTAAAATAGTCAAAAAAATCAAAAAATCAAAAAGCTAACTCACTTCCCAAACGGAGGCTTTATATATTGAATGAGTGCCTACAATAAATATAACACACACATATATTTATATTTAAATGGTCGGGTTCAATTTCAAATAAAAAACATAATTATAAAATTACAAATTGAATCGTAAAATACGTTTCTGCCTATTATAAGGGTTGGTTTGGGGTACACTATATAATCCATCTTTTTATCTTTTTTCTATTATATCACCTCTCTACTTTTTTGCACATTTTTTTGTAAAAAGACAAAAAGTGCACTTTTTTAGGACACCCCAAACCAACCCTTAGGAACAGAATCAAATTGTAAATCGATCAGACCAGATTAAAGACCGGAGGGGATGCCGCTTCTAAAAATAAGTAGGGGACGAATGTTCCTGTCAAAAATGGACAACAACGGTGAAGCAGCTTGCACGGTCAACTGATGATAAATATTCAATCAACTTACTCGTTGGTCTACGTTCCCACCCATCTACTATCGTATGATGTTGGCAGGTGAATAGCCCAATGTCTCAATCACACTTGCAAATTTATTCACACAGTAATACATAATATATAAAATATTTAATTAGTTGATTTTTAATTTTTAATAGAATCACTCGATTCAAAAAAATTATGTATTATTTACATTTGTATGAACAAGTTCACACTTCTTATTATGTGGAATGTATGCATATATTTTCATAACTAGGATTGTAAGATAAATAGAATTAATTGTTTTAAATGAAAAATTTTGGTGACGGAATGGAACCAGCCAAAATTTCATATTTTAATAATTTATTTATTTATTTTATATATTGTAGTAGAAGATAAATCACCAATATTATACATTTTACAATAATAATTAGGAGGTGAGATATTTATAGAGTATTTTCATCATTCTCTCTTTATTTATTTCCAAGAATTCTCTATATTCTTATAAAATCTTTGAGACTCTTATGAATCATCATTTATGTACGGGGAATTTTCATAAGTAGGATTGTAAGATAAATAGAGTTAACAGAATTAATTGTTTAAAATGAAAAATTTTGGTGACGGAACGGAACCAACAAAAATTTCATATTTTAATAATTTATTTATTTATTTTATATATTGTAGTAGAAGATAAATCACCAATATTGTACATTTTACAATAATAATTAGGAGGTGAGATATTTATAGAGTATTTTCATCATTCTCTCTTTATTTATTTCCAAGAATTCTCTATATTCTTATAAAATCTTTGAGACTCTTATGAATCATCATTTATGTACGGGGAGCAAATATTCCGGCAAGCCCGTACTCCTTTCTTCCGAGCTCCGTCGATGTCCGATCACCTGCGAGCAAGTAACGGTGAGCTACCCGGCGGTGAATTGAACAGTGATATCGGTCGGTTTTAATTTCTCAATTAATAAAATTAAAAAGTACAATCTAATGCTAATTTTTTCCTAACCCGACTAAATCAAATTACTTATAATGATAGAACAAATTGTGCTCATGGTCTTGTGTCTTACTTCCGTGTTTGTGAAGGAGAGTTGGAGAGTTCAACTTTTTTAGTATATTAATTTAATAATTATCAATTATTTTTGAGTTAGATTATTTAAATTTTTATTTATAAATGTTATGGTAGTTCAAGTTTTATTTAATTTTTTTTGAGCAAATAAGTCTTATTTATTAAAATTGAGAATATTATAAGTTTTTTTTTTTTCAATTTTTAAAATTAAGAATATTATCAATTTTGCAAGTAACGTTCTAAATAATTATTTCACTAATTGATGAAACAAAAACAGAGCATGAGCTTAAACGTTTTTGCTTTTCTACTTATTAGTTTGATTTAACTATTCAATAAAATCGAAAACATTAATAGTTTTTTCCAGTTTTAAAACTGAGAACATTACCAGTTTTTTCATTTGTAAAGTTTTTATTTATTTTTATTTTTTTTTAGTTTTGCGCATCAATGTTCCATCATCATGCTCTTTTATACACATAAAATTTTTAGTTTTGTACAAAAACATAATTAGTTTTTTCAATTTTTTCAAATTTTTTTTTTTTGCAAATAATTTTTTTTTAGTTTTTTTTTTTTAAATTTGAAAGTCGATATTTTAAAGTTTTGAAAATTAAAATAAATGTCAAATCATCATCTTCCTTTATAGATAATCATAAATGATGAACAATTATTGTTTGAAGGGCAATTCTAAGTATTAAAAATTTAATAGGACTTGAAAATCTAAAATATCTTAATTCAGACTTAACATAATATAAGTTCATAAATTAAGAGTTGTGTATAAATGTCTCATTTTTTTTTTAAATAATAAAAATAGAACAAATTGGATTATAGAAGAGTGCATATGCGAAGGTTGCAATAAGCTTTTACGTTCCACCACTGAAAAATCCCAAAAAGTTGAATAAGAGTATGAACTTGTGAAGTGGTTTAAGATGGGTTCTTTTTCACGAGCTAGCATCTTCCAATCTTTTTGAAGAGCTATTTCTCCATAATAAAGATTATTTGACAATCCATTTTGAGTGATATAAAACCTAAAAAAGTCTTGTATTTGGTCTATACATTTTTAATTTTGTTGTAATATGGTTATTTTGTCATATGCCTTAAATGGAAAAAAAAAAAATGCAAAATTAGAAGGACCAAACAATAGAGATCATCGGTGTAATGAATATATTATTTGTTTTGAATTTCACTTTGGTTTCTCTAATTTTACGCATGATTTTTTTTTGGATTCCAAATTCTAACAGTAAATGACGTAAGGACATATCGTAACAAAATTAAAAATGTAGGGATCAAATTGTTCAAATTAAAATTATGGAGATTAAAGTGACACTTTATTTAAATTACGTGAACTAGTAATATAATTTACTCTGCTGGTTATGATTCACACTACACTAAATTTAAATCTATATTACATAAATTAAAAATATAAACATTTATTTATTTGTTTCTAGATGCATAAAATTCCATATCGATAAAATTAAGAAAATTCCACCAACTTTATTCAATTCATCAAAGTTGTCTACGAACTTGGGTATATACATCTAATATTCCTTATCTACCCCATGGACATGGCCGCATGATACTATAATCACCAGGAAGTTTCACTCTCCACATTACAATTACAGTTGACCTCTAATATGTTTAACATCTATTTATAGAGATTGAGCTATTGACACATCTATAAAATCATAGCAAAAACTCCAAACAAGCATTATCAACAGAAAAAGGTGTTTGGGGTGACAAAGATAATACAGCTTTATTGGCTTTGGCTAGCAATGAACTTCACTATGTTGCCTCATGACTGTGTTTCTACAATTCTTTCTTTCACCTCCCCTCTTGATGCATGTGGGTTGTCACCGGTTTCGACTTCCTTTCAATCAGCGGCAGACTCTGATGATGTCTGGGAGAGATTCTTGCCGTCTGATTATCGGGACATTGTGTCGAGATCGGTCACTCCTTTGAAGTTTTCTTCGAAGAAAGACTTGTATTTTCTTCTCTGCAATCGCATTCTCATTGATGGTGGTAACAAGGTTGGTTCATCGATTTAATAAGTTTAAGTGCACATATTCCATCAATACACACGTCATGTGAGACAAAGAGTGAGTCCTACATAATGTGAGGTTGGCACTTTATCGCATATTTATATCTCATGAATTTCATGTATTGATGATTTTTAAAACAACCCATTTTGTTTTTGTTCATGAATGATTTACACACATTGAGATAAAGTATGAATGATTGTGATCATCTTAATGAGCCATGTTGTTGGTCCAAAATATTGGAGAATTGTATACTAACAAAAAAAAAGGAAAAATACAAATACACACCATATGATTTGTTTAAAATACGGATTGTCATCCGTAGTTTAAAAATTTACAAATATCTCTTTGTCAGAATTTTTTATTTAACAGAATTAACTGAAAAAATGAAATTCCTAACTGCTATCCTATATAATAACAAAATTATATGAATTATTAATTGAAATATATTTTTGACATCATTAAAAATTGTTAATTGACTTGGTGATTTATTAATAAAAAGGGTTATTAGTTATGAAATTAAAAATTTCAAGGGATGAGATGTAATTTTCATAATCAAAAGGAATAATTTGTATTTTAAGCAAATCATAGAGAGTTTATTTTTGTGAAATTTTTTTTTATTTTTTTATAAAGCATTTTCTTTATAAAAATGATGAATGGTTGTGTACTTATTTTTATTTTTTTTTCCGCCTATGTAATCCAGAGCTTTACATTAGAGAAATTATCAGGCAAGAAATCTTACATGCTGTCTGCAAGAGAGCTTTCCATTACATGGAGTAATGAACCAATACCAATGTATTGGATCTGGGAATCCATACCTGATTCAAGGTACTCTCTCTCTCTAGTTGCACAAAATAAAAATACACCAGCGATCCTCATATTTTTTTTCTTATGTCATTTTAGTTCCTATACTTTTAATTTGCTTAATTTTGACTCTTAATATTAGATATTGTGTCAATTTAGTCCAATTGATAATGCCGTTAATATTTTTGATGAAAAATAATTATTGAATTGGTTGAGATTAACTTATTAAGTTTAGTAAGTTTATAATTTTAATCTTAAAAATATATATGCCACTTATATACAAATTTTTAATTAAAAAATGTTAAGAGTTGTAATTAATTTGATCAAATTAAAACAAAGTTATAAATTCAAGGTCAAAATTGAACCAATTGAAATTATAAAGACTAAAATGATACAAGGACCAAAGTACATGAACTATTATCTTAATTTGTCCAAAAAAATTAATACATGATTGAGATCTATTTTATGTGTTATGTGGGCATGCTTGAAATAAATCTTAATACTACAATAAATTAAAATTTTAGAAACAAGAATTAAGGGACAAAATTTTTTCTTAGAGACAATATCTTAGTTACCAAAAGTGTTATTATTGTATTTTTAGCAATGAAATTGGGCATTTAGTGATTAGTTACTATTCTTTTTGGACCGAAATTTGTGTCTAGAAAAAAAACTATTTTGAAATCAAATTATTTTGTCTGCATTTATTAACGGCATTTTCAAAATTTTGTCAATAAAAATCATTTTTTAAAAACTTCTTTGAACGAATTTAGTCATTTCATCGTAATTTTCTTGACAAATTTTCGTCATAAATAGAGTTTTCCACGATAATATTCCCTTCTATTTTAGGTTTTCTGAGGTGGCTGTTCTGAGAACAGTTTGGTGGTTAGAAATTCATGGCAGGATCGAAACTCAAATGCTATCACCAAACGCAGCATACGGAGCTTATCTAATCGTGAAAATCTCAGAAAATGCTCATGGTCTTGATTCCATACCCTCAGAGATCTCAGTTAAGGTGGGGAACAATGTAGTATCTTCTAACACAACTTATCTACGGTGTCCTAAAGATGACAAGAAAAAACGGCAGATGCAGAGCCTGTTTTACGCGAATCGAACACAGATGTTGAGGTCAAGGTTAGTGAACAATGGGGAGGACACACGAGTCCTCCCCAGTGAAAGAGAAGATGGGTGGATGGAGATTGAGCTTGGAGAGTTCTTCATCAATGGTGGTGATGATGCCAATGAGGAGGTGGAAATGAGTTTGATGGAGGTGAAGGGGTACCAGCTTAAAGGTGGTCTTATTATTCAAGGCATTGAAGTGAGGCCTAAACACTAATCAGCCCAATTTGTTTTTAATTAGTAGTTCAACAATGTTACAAATTTAGGAGAAAAAAATTATTCAAAATTTAACCTTGATGATCAATATTTACTCAAAGTGTGACTCTACAATAAGAAATTTAAATCTATACCATAAATTTAAAATTCTTAATAAATTTCTGGGCCCTTATGTGGTTTAATAGGCATGGTTATGATAGTTAGGATATCTCCACATGGGAATTGGCAGTGTAGGTCCTCCTTTTTTATTATTCTCTTCACGTAATGGGAGCAATTATTGGTCACTGATCAGATATTTGTTAGATGGTGTCCTACTCGAACATGATCAATATTAGTATTTGATAACCTAAGGGTGTTTTGAAAAGTTGGTAAAAAGTTGACTTTTGACTTTTTACTAAGTTTTTTGGCTTTTTTAAAAGTGATTTAGAAGGTTGGTAAAAAGCTGACTTTTTTGATTTGTGGTTTAATATTTTTTAAAAGTGTCACATTATTCCAAAATGACCAAAATATCCTTACTTTTTGAATTTTGAATTAATTAATTAAAATGTTCCAGAGGGTAATTTGGTAAATTTGGGTGCTGCGTTCTTGGGTCTTCCTAAATGGGATTTTCTGCGTTTTGTGTGTATTTGGCGTTTTGGGAAAGCTCTCAAAAAGCTGCATTTTGGGAAGGTTGCCAAAACGGCACTTAATTTGGTATTTCAAAAATACATATATTATTTAAAAATTATTAATTAAATTTTTTTAATAATCACAATTTGTATTATTTAAAAATTTAAATGATTATTGAAACGTAAATTAAAAATTATTTTTTTTTAAGTATACAATTATTACTCAGTATTAATAGATTTATAACCGTTTATTCATAAGCAACGAGTTATAAAATTTTAAGAAGTAAAATTATTATTACTTAATATTAAGTTTTTTTTTGTTATTTATTTATTTTATTTTTTTTAAGGTTCCTAATATTACAATTTTAAGAGATAAAAGACACCCCAAACTTTCATACTACCTCACCTCTTCCCTCGAAAATTATTGGACTAAAATATCCTTACATTTTACATTTAGTCTAACGTCTTTCACTTTTTAAAAATTTTCAAAACTTAAAAATTTAATAACTTTTGATTTAGATGTCCATTTTCAACAAAAAATATATTTTTGGAATGCTCTCGTCTAGATCTATCACAAAAGATCCAAAATTTCACTGAGGAAATCAACATGAAAGTAAATTTTTTTGACTACATTTGCAGAGAAATTTCAGAGAAAATCAAATGTGTTAGAGAAAATCAACATGCAAATAAATTTCTTTGACTACATTTGCAGAGAAATTTCAAAGAAAATCAACATGGCAGAGAAATTTTAGATTGCAAGTGTGTGATGGCCAAAGAAAATCAACATGACAGAAATCTCAGATATAGGTCTAATGACATTTCTCTGGTATAGGTCCAATGAAATTTCAAAAAAAAAAAGAAATTTCTTCATGAATAAATTTCTCTGGTATAGGTCCAATGAGATTTTAGACAAATTTTACATAAATTTTCAGATTAATTTTACCTAGTATAGGTCCAGAGAAATTTCAACAGGTCTTCAAAATTCTCTAGTATAGATGTAGTGAAATTTCTAGTATAGGTCTAAAGAAATTACTTGGTATATGTCCAGCGAAATTTCTAGTATAGGTCTAGAGAAATTACTTGGTATAGGTTCAGTGAAATTTCTCTAGTATAGGCCTAGAGAAATTTTAGCGGGTTCTCCAAATTCCTCTAGATTTGTGAGTTTATCGTTGTCCATAATCACAAACTTTTTACTCTTCAACAAATAGATCAAGGACCCATCTTCATGGTAGTAGACAAAGTAAACAGGCATGGATGTGGCCACGAAGGCAGCAAAAGAGGGGCTTGGAACTTAGCGTTGAAGACATGGAGAAAGTTGGCGGTGATAAAGAGGTAGTCGGAGTGAAGGGAGGCAGAGGTATCAGTGTCGAAGAATGAGAAGATGGTGGATTTAGGTTCTAGGGTTTGGAAAGAGAAGATTGTGCGTTGTTGAGAGATCCAAATCTGTAGAGAGAGAGAGAGAGAAAATAGAGAAGAGAGAAGATAAATGGAAAGATGATGCCGAAATAGGAGCCGGCAGTGATAATGAAGCGGCTATCGGAACGGAAAAAGGTAGAGGTGGCGATGTCGGAGAGTGGAAAGATGGTGGATTTGGGTTTTAGGGTTTAGAAAGAGAGAGATCAGAGAGATGGATGAGATAAAGAAGAAAGACCCAAATATATAGAGAGAGAAGAGAGAAGAGTGAGGGTAAAGTTGGTATTTTTTTTAATAAAATAAAAGTAAAGGATGTGAAGGTCCTTATCTAACATAATTTTTTTTGTGTGTGACTTCTCCTACTATCCAAAGTTGAAAAGAGATATAAGACTAATTTTCCCCAATATTAATTGATGTATAATTGTTTGTTCATAAACATCATCGTATACCATTATGACACCATCATTACTATTATTGCACCACCGTTCCTACCCCACACACTCAACCATCCACCACCAATAATCACTACTACTGCCATTGTTGTCACATGCACCACCATTATTTCACTACCACCACAATCACACCACGAGCACGATCGTTGCTGCTATTACAACTACCTCTACTACTACTACTACTACTACTACTACTACCACCATCACTACACCACTGCAACGGCTGCTACCACCACCACCAAATTACAATTACCATCAATACTCCTCTACCTCTACTATACTACTCCTCCATCATCACCAATTACTATCTCTCAAGCTGTAACACCATGCCATAGTCATTACTGTTGTTGCCGCCATCTCCACCTCCTGCATCACCACCACCGCCACCTCCTTCTCTATACTATTAAAATTGAAAGAGAAAATTTAAAAATAATGGCATTTAAATTCCATCTTCTACATTTGCAACTTGTATGATTTCAACACTAAATTTTATCGAACAAAATTTGAATTTAAAATTTCAGTATTTAGGTTTTCGTATTATCAAATACCACATACATGGTGTTATTTTTTATTTTTATTTATTTTTCAATCGATAAGAGATTTTTAGAATATAGAAAAAAATAACTTAACAAATATTGTTCAACAACTAAAAGAAGTCCAACAAATATCTCTAATAGTGAGAGAAACGACAATCTCAATAAGCAATTTTAAAAGTCTCATAATAAGAAAGAAATAAAAGAATAAGAGCATCTCCAATCCTTTATCTTTTCTTTTATCAAATTTAAATTTGATAAAAAAATACTTAAAAATCCTCTCCAATCCTTTCATCAAATGTTCATCAAATCAAGGGAGAGTCTTTTTCTCATCAAATTGAGAACTCATCAAATATTTCGTCAAATTTAAATTTTATGAATATTTAAAATGATGAAGCACTGGAGATGAATTTTTTCATCAAATTAGATGAAAAGAGAAATTTAGGATAAAAATAGAATTTTTAAAAAGATTTTGATGAAAATTTAATGAATGGATTGGAGTAGTTCATGTCAAATTTAACTTTTTATTCAAATTTAAAATCAAATTAGATGAAAAATTTAATGAAGGGTTGGTCTAAAAGGGGATAAGTTTGTAACATAATCTATAAAATGGAATCACCCTTCTCATTAAAATAAATAAAAAATAAAAATTTGCTCATCACAAAAGAGTTAATAGGGGATATTTTTTTTTTAGATTTATTCATAAATTTTGTACTTTTATCTACAGATTAAGTGAATTTAAAAAGTAAAAAAAAAAAAAATTTAAAATGATAAAAAAATTCAGTAAAACAAAAGAATATAAATTAAAATTAAATTGTTTTTAAAAAAAAATTTTAAAATTAGATTGAGTGGAATGTCGACGTCGTTCTTTCACGTAGTTTTTTTTTTTTTGATCCAAAGAAAAATCCATTAAAGAAAGTGAAACGACACTTACAAGAGTCCATCCAACCCAAAACTTACACCAAACAAAAGAAAAATATATCAAGAAGCACAAAGGAAAGAACCTATAAAAATATTAAGACGCATATCTCATACTCATGCTCGTACTGTGAAACAAAGCTGATCATAAGAGTTCAGCAATAGAGCATGTATGTGAAAAATTGTAGACCCCAACCATAGAAGGGTAAGTTTAACATCACCACCGATGGACTCATAAACATGTTGGAAAAATGGTTTAATATAGGCATATTTTTGAGCCCAATTTTGAGTGGGTCCCAAACGTCTTTTGGGGTGGGTCCGAAGAGGTGAAGTGTTCCTTGTCGCGTGGCAAGTCACACGGTGAAGACGGAACGTCAAAACCATTTATAAGTGAATGGGAAGTTGACGTCGTTTTCGGGTCTAATATTAATTTTTTAGATAAAATTCATTTGAATTTTTTCAATAAAAAATATTGTGGGAATTTAATTTAAATTCTAAATTCAAATTTTAGGTTCCTAAGTGGTTTCTTAAAGTTTGTAATTGTGGGAATTTAATTTAATTCTAAATTCAAATTTTGGGTGCCTAAGTGGTTTCTTAAAGTTTGTACCTCTTCCTTTATTTATTAAACTATTCAAATAGTTTAATATATATATATATTCCAAATAGTTATTAATAATAAAGTTCCTAACAGTTCCTTTGTTTGTCCACCAAAGGACACTTTTCAAATGTTTGAATAGTAGTGTTCATGTACAACAGTCAGAATTGTTTGAATTCAACTATTGCACCTGTTCTTTCAAAAGTGCATATGTTCATTCAAATTGTTGTACCTATTCGGGGACTATGTTGCCTGTAAATTGAGATTCTATTCTAGTAGTCTTTACACTTAGAGACATCCGAAAAATCAGTCTGAAAATCTTTTCTCTTGCTGTCCAGATTTTCCTTTTGCATTATTTCTTCATTCTAGTTTTAGAATAAATATTCAGAGAGTTAGATCACAGGTTTTGGTTCGCCGAACAATTTGTTTTGGAGTGCTACTACAAATTGGTTAAGATCATTGTATCCTGGGAGATAGACGCCACTCAACCGTAAGCACCATAGTTGGACGAATCTGTCTTAAGGATAGAGTGTCACACACTCGACTTGGTCTCTAATTATTGATTTGGTTCAACAAAATAAATTCTGTAAGTTTTATTTTATTTTGTTTGAATTATTTCAAT